AATAAACAGAAACAAGAAAAGTGCGAGAGAGCGCAGTACCGAGGCTGCCATCCACGGCGCCATCTTGATCATGAGTGCATATACAAATACTGTAAATAACCACCCGTAAAGAACGCTCTTTATCATAATGCAGTTTGGTGCATACTGGGATGCAGCAATATTAAGCTTCAGCACAGTCTAATCTCGCCCATGGATTTGTTACATGCAGTAGGTCAACCTTGACCCAAGTTAATTAGAGCTCTAAATATGTACAGCCTGACTCTAATTACACACTGTGCACCGACTCCACTAACAACTCAACTAACCTAATCCTAAGTCTTTAGGACCCACAAACTGGCTGGCTTTCAAACGCACACAGATCCTCTGACACCAACAAAGGCTAAAGAAATAATTCAGGATTTACACTGCAAACCTGCTCATCAAATACACACTCAAATACACAGACACACAACTCATCCGGCTCCCCAGGCGGACTTCACCTCCCACACATATTACTTTGGCAGTGATGGAACAGCAGCATCTCTCCCAAGAGAGAGGAGCAATACGAGGCGAAAGGAGTAGCAAGAGAGACAAGGAGGTGTTAGTCTCTCAGATTAAAACACTAAATATACCAACATGTACAAGATATTTGTTCTTTGTTTCCATCTGTCTATAATCCCTGCCTACTGCCCTCTATTCAACAAGATTGTCTTCAAAGTTTAAGAATATTGCCACTGCAACAAAACAGAGGGACACAATTTTCCCTTAAGAGCTACAGATGAAACCTTGATAAAGCTCAATTTACACCTATTTTCAAAAGTTTCTTACCAATATTCACGCTATACATCACTGCAGTGAACAGCAGGATTGTGTATGCATGACTGTCACTGTCTAATCCTGAGTGCACTGCAAGTTAATACACAGGGAATTAAACCAGAAATTGGAGATGCTTGTTTACTTGCACTGAGCATTCCTGCCATACCTAATGATGAGTGCACATCCAACTTGCAATGATGAACAGCAAAATTCAACCACACAAGTTGAAATATTCAACTCAACACAGCATCCAGACGAGAACATGCTGATGCTTGTCTCTAGTTTTTTCCCGCACCACGCTGTTTACCCAAGAGGTATTTTGTTCTTAGGATAGTATATCAATGATTTATATAAGGAAAAATAAAAAAATAAATGCACTTAGGTGTTTCTATTTCTATTTCTTTTTAATTAGTTCACATTTCTCACGTACCGCTGGCAACCACAGACGTACCACCTGGGGAAAAAGCACCTCCGTTTGGGTTTCACAGTCATAGTCTGGATTCTGTTTTGTTTGTTTAGAGTAAAGCTACACAAAAACGATACCTCCTCTTCTTAATCCTCCCACACTAAATCCCTCCATTATTTACCTCATCTAAAAATGTCTATTACCTTAACTTTTAAGCCCCCCTTAAGCAAAACAGCTTTTATTACTGCAAAGCTGAAAGTGCCATCATTATTTCAAGAATTGCTGAAATGCAACCTTGGGAGTCTGAAATAATGCTAAAAGGTGAGAAGTATATATGATTTATGCACTTTTAATGCACAGTTCGTAAGACGGGGAGAATGCGGAAGAATAAAACAGTCGCTCTTTGTTCTGAAGCTCAATCTGCAGGATTTATCTGCTGCTCCAGAAATGATAAAAGGCAAAAGTAATGTCTTCCTCATCTCAGAATGTGGCAGGACATATTATTTTTTCTGTATTGTTTGTGATATTCATGTTAAATATGGTCAAATAATGAGGCCAGCACTTGTACGAATAATCCCTCCAGGTTTCAGCTGCTCTTAGTGAGTTCCCAGCAGTTTTTTCTACTCTTAGCTATGTATGATGTCAGCGAATGAGATCCCTAATATAGTCATCAATATTTTTCCTTTACTGGACCCCAGTAATAAAAACACAGAACACGAAATAAACACATTTCCTACCTATAGCCATGAAGTCCTCGCGGTCCCAGGCTTGCAGCTGCGCTAAGGGGCCGCTGTACAACACCAGGCCATCAGCCACGTCCGTGATGAACTCCAGCGACACATGGCTCTCGAAACAGGGCATCATGGGAGGAAACCAGGCATAGCCGTTGCCATGGAAACTGTGCTTGTTCTGCTGGCATTCGGGCCCCTCGAACTGAGCCGGGCACTGGCACCTTGGGACAAAGAGGAAATCAAGAGGCGAAATGACACGAGTTAGCGAATGCAATAAAGAGATGGCTCCGATTTTTTCACCGCTTTGTGAAAATTCAGTTAGAACACTACCCCGATCTTTCTCAACCCCTTTTTGAACCTTTCACCATATTTAGCTCTTTCAAGTATTTTTGCAGCACGTCTGCTCTCCGTGTCTCCGAGTCTAGTTGTTTTCCCCTCTCAGACTAAGCTCCCCTTCGGCTATCTCGGTCTCTCATTTCGTATGTTTCACTGATGCAGATGTTCTCATTAGTGGCAAAACCACAGGGAACATCACAACATCACTACGAAACTCCTCTCTCTGTGTTTCCACATATTCAAGTACTCATTTGTGCCACTGCTTCCTGTCAAAATGTCACCTCTCACCTTCTCTCTCTGGGAGCACTTTAGCCTGTAAATTACAAATGCCAGGTTTCTTCTATCTACTTATTAGGGCTGTCACAAACGATTATTTTGATAGTCGACTAGTCACCAATTATTTTTGCGATTAGTCGACTA